TACGCCTCCTAAAAACCTAATACAGTAATAAAATTTTTTATTCAACCATCTGTCGAAGCTTCAACCTCAGTTACACTGGCTTCACCTATTAATGACTTTGCCAATTAAAAACTATTTTTATGTACATAAAAGCATATAGATATTATGTTGGGAAATAAAATTTTGTTTCAACAGTAACAGAATCAACTTATGAGTCGTTAGCGAAAATTGCTTTGCGAAAACAAGTAATATAGTCTATCAATAGTAATTCTGCATATGTTATTTCGCACTAAAAATATCATTAGTAATATGAAAATATTTTTAGAAAAAGTTATAACCTTCATTATCTGTTAAATATAGAAAAACATCAGCCTAAATCCTTCAATTTTTGGGTCGACTGTGCTGAAAAATTATCAAATTTAGTGAATGAAAAAGGAAAAGCATGATTTATTATAATTTGATTAAAGGTTAAAAGATGGATTGCATTTATTATGTTTATATCAAGATGTTGATTATTTGCTTTGAAAGATTCGAGCATTAAAAATAAATTATTTTGTTTATCATGTAAAAAATGCAAAAATAATACTTGAGCGACCTTTATCAATAATAAATTTTGAAGAAAAAAAAGATGGATTGTATCTTACTGACCTGTTAATTGAAATAACAGCTCACTTGGTTAAATTATAATTACTGACTATTAAAATTTTGCTTCCGATCTATTGAGTGAAGTACTTGAGAAAATTCTAATTAAAAAAATTTACCTCTGATTCATTGAGTGAGGTGCTTGAGAGCATTCAAAGTTAGTGATTTCTGCATAGTTGGTTATACGTAAAAATTTCATTACATGCAACATATAAGTGTCGCCAAAGGGAAAACCTACAAGTTGCACTTTTTGAATATTAACTTTTAATAAAAATATCTTAAAATAGGCAATTTTAATAACTACTGTTCTTAATATTATTTGAATTGCCTCATTAAGATAATTCAAATGATATTAAAAGTATAGGTTTTAGATTGCCTGATTTAAAGATATTTTTATTAAAAGTAAATATACAAAAAGTATAACTTGTAGGTTTTCCCTTGGCGGCACTCATATGTTTCTGCAGATTTTTAGAACATCAACTTAGGCTGTTCTCATGCATCTAAATCAATTGATCAGATAATAATCGTGATGATGTTCAAGCACCACAATTGATGATGATATTTATAGAATTAAATGCTTGTGCATACTTTTACTGTTTTTCGTAATATTCATTTACTACCTAAAAAACCTAATGAAAAAATTCTTTACAATCAACAGTTAAAGTTTCAACTTTAGTTACATCGACTCCCCCATTTAGTGAATTTAACAATTTAAATTTCTTTACTATCCATCAAATATGGAAAAATATCTACCCTAACCTTTCAGTTTTAGATCTTTACTGAGAAGATTTAAAATTCAAATGTTTGATATTCTAATTTTGGTATATTATGTTACTATTAGAATTTGGATTTCGACAGTCTAAACATTATTTTAAACTTTATGAAATTTTTTTTTATAAAAAAAAATAACTATATTTAAAAATAAGGATTTTTTTTTAAATAATATAAAATTCTTCTATATAAGAAAATTTAATTTTTTACTAGATTTTATATACCATAAATTCTCGAAATAACCCCCAGGGGTAAATTTACGAAATTTGGCCTAAATTAAGCTTAATTCGGGCCAAAACTCAAAATAACGCCCATGCCCGCTATTTTGAGAATTTACGGTATATATATTTTTTATTTCTATATAAAATTTATTTTTTCTTCAAAAAACATAAACACATTGCTTTAATTAGGGGTGTTCTCAAGAAGTTTCTTCAATTCGATTAGCTAGTGATAGAAAGATTGACCAGATTGTCGCGATTAATTGAGTGGTTATTACAACTAATCGAAGAACAAATTGTTAAAAATTCATTATATAAAATATGAATTCTAGATTTTAGCCATTCAGACAACCTAAGAAAAAAGATAGTCTGCACCTCTAGAATTTATTCATTGAAATGGTGACTCACTTTGTTAGTTTTCAATTTTCGACCAATTAAAATTTTGCTTTCGAATCATTAATTAAATTTATAAATAGCAGAATTCCAATCTCTGTAAATAATTTTTTTTTCAATATCGTAGAACAATTGATCATTGTTTTTAATCGTTACTTTACTTTATCTCATTCGGATTCATATGTTTAGTTTACTTAGATTATTTACAATCAGTTCCCTCAATATGATTTGCTAGTGATCGAGATACTGCTCAATCATTTTGATAAACGAAATTAATTGAATGATCTTTATAACGATTTTGCCGGAAGTTAACTTTGCTATCGAATGGATTTTTATAATTCGATAGTGTTTTGTAAGTAAATACCAATACTGGGCAAATTGTTGAATACGGTAATTTGGCTCAAACGGGCAAATTACCGTTATTCAAACTTGGATAATGAAAAAAAGAAAATTTATTGTTATTTTAATTAATATTTACTTAATTGCAAATTTTCATAAAAATTCGTTCGTTCGACAACGTAATAGTATAATTGGAATACAGCGGGAAATTTTTGGAGAGGTCGCAGATTTTAAATTTTAGTCAATCAGAGCAACTTTATGAAAAACAAGACAGTTAGTTTTTTTTTGTTCGCAATGATTTAAATGCGATCCACTTTTTTTAGCAAATCAGATCATTTTATTAACCATAGAGGGATGTGCTTAAGGACAACCTAAATCTAAATATTTCTAGATATTTATACTTTGTTCACAATCTAAGTTAAATTGACGAAATCAAAATGCGAAGCTTTTCCTTTTTGCAACAATGCAGAAATATATCAATATTTTGCCAATTCATTTTTTTCACGTAAATTTAAGTCAGTAAGCATAAATACATTTATTAATTTGATGTATTTAAATTAATTTAATGGCTTTATCATAATAATTCCGATAAAACTGTCTCTGACATTTTTTTATCAATGCTCTAAAATAGTTCTTGTGTTTGGTAGTTTTTTTTTTTTACCCTTTTCTTCCGGCGTGTCGATTAAAAATAATTTAATTGAACGTTACATAGAGATCTCTCTAAATGCACAAAATAGGGACCAAATTCCTAACAATTTGCATCTAGAGAACGTTAAAAAAAATTACATTTTATGGGAGTCAAGTATATACTGGATCAGTGCATTCAGAGAAATATTATCCTTTTGGAAAGTCCATTAAGAATTGTGCTACGCATGATTTGAAAAGTTTAATTATTTAACAACAATTTTTTATGTAATCAGATTTTCATAAAATATTGGTCACTAATAATTGAGGTATTGAAACTTTTGAGAAAAAGGAATTAATCTCTAGGAAGAGTTAAGATTAAATATATAAATAATGTATATTTATTTATTTGTTATTCATTGATAGTATTAGCAAAGTTATTTTCGACAGTGATTATATCATGATCATTATCGGTTGCTAAAAAAAACGAATTGTTAACAAGTATTAAGTGATAATTATTATTTAATAAAACATGAACAAACCAAAGTTTTGTGCTATTTCACCATTGCGTTGATCTTCCAATTCGTATGGTTCATTATCAGGATCTTGATCTATTTCACCATCAGGACTATTATAATCACGAATATACCAAAAAATTAGACCTAATATAACAGCTCCGCATGAGATACAATAAGGTATTAGATAATCAAAATTGCCATAGTCAGGCGGGAAAAATGATGCAATGATAATTAAAACTGTAATGGAAAGGTAAATTATAATAATATATTTAGGTATTGGAAATGCGTCTATTTCCCCTAGTCTTTTCTTTAACCTCTAAATAAAATATAATTGATAAATATTCTTTTAGTGTGTTGAACAAAACTTAAAATATGAAGCTGAACAAGTTAACTTACCCATAAACTATATGCACTTGCACCATGAAAAATTATAGCCAAATATTGTGACGTATTAGAGGAAAAAACAAAACAATTTGCTTTTATCGAAATAAGCATGGTTAAAATAAAACAGTAACCAAATTGTGCCAATAATTGATTAGTTAATGTATCAAATCTTCGGTTATAGTTTTTAAAAATATCGGATATCACGGGTATGAATTCAGTTTCGGCAGCATATTTAATAATTCGTGCATAACTAAAAAACATAAGAGATTAATTTAATAGTAATTTTCTTATTTATTGTAATAGCAATATGTAATCTTACATACATGAAAACCATTGCACTAGCACTTCCAAATGCAGAAATTGCAACAAGTATTGACATGAGAATTTCTCCAGTTCCGCCATGTAGTTCTTTACCAAAACGTAAAGCAATTGGAATGTTGTCATTATCAATAATATTATTTCCAACTACCGTTATAAAAGCAACATTAGTGAAGAAATCTAAATAATATAATAATTTATAATTATATTAGAAAACAATAGATGAAATAATCCAGATAAAACATAATAACATTGAAATCTTACAAAGTAAAAATGAAATGACAACGCTAATAGTAGAAGAATATGTCAGGTTTTTGTCTTTTGGTTCTTTTAATTCTTCAGTTAAATCTATAAAAGGAAATTTATATCAATTACGTTCAAAATTAAATTAATCTAATTTGACGTGGTTGTATTATTTTGTGCTTTGCAAAATTTGGTGACCCTTATAGATTAATTTTTTATGATTAAACGATCGTGTTTGCTAAAGCCGGTCAATTTATTATAAATCTAAGCTTGACAAACTCAAATTCATAATAAATTGGCTGGCAATCACAATCATTTAATCATAAAAAATTAATCATAAGGATCACACAATTTTGCAAACCGTAATAAATTTCTTACAATTTATATTATTCCATCCTTGAATAATTGTGATAGATATAAAGTTTAATTAGCAATTTTGTCAATTTAATGCTTGAAATGTTTATTAACACACCTTCATATGCGAATAAAATCTATATTTAAATTTTATGAAATTTTTTAGTTAACTACTAGAAAACTCGTATATCGATATATATTATATTTAATTTACCTGTATTAAACAATTTCCATATGCACCAACTTCATATACACCAATATTAGATGATATATTAAAAACATTACGCCAATTAGTAGAACCGGTTCCAGCTAATTTTACTAATCCAACTACCGAAATAATAAATAAGGAAACGATCTTAATCAAGGCTAGCACTTGGTTAATAGCGTAAGATATGCTATCAAGTAACACTTGATATAAAGTGATAAATAATAAAATTAAAACCGAAATAATCACAGCCCTAAAAATTCAAGAACATTCTTTAGGTTAATATATTAAAATTACACATCTTTCTATTATCGTTTTGTACACTTATTAGTAATAAAAATCGACAATTAATTTCTCTCTATTTTTTTCCGACCTTATTACTACTATTACTATAATGATTTATTTTTATTCTGTGTTAGATTGACGGGATAATCCAGCCTTCTTAGAAAATTGAATAACAATCTAAAATGATAAAAGCTACAATGGCTCAGCAAATAAATGTATGTGATTTTATATTCTCTCTGATTATTATATAAAGTTGCTTTGTAACGTTAAAAATTATGTTAATTGATTATATATGAGATACTTAAGTTCGATCTAAGTTACGACTGAACCAACTGCGCATGTATGCACCCGGCTCTCCCAGCCAGTCTTAACACCTATGTCCGAATTAAGTGTACAAAGCCGATAATAAATTCAAAAAATATTGCTTACATGTAATCATAACTATTGTGAAAATTTCCTCGAAAAACGTAGAGAATGTATTGAGCGGAATTATAAGAATCAGCCACTATGGCTCCGGGTAATATAATTCTATTATAAATAGTTGAATCAAATTATCGTATTATATTCATATGTATATGCATGAATAATACAATGTTTAGAGGATATTTAAAATTCACACACAATATTACAACGAAGCTAAAAACATGTCCAAAATTTCTCCATTCCGGAAACGCATCAGTAATATATTTTTGTTCGCCTATTCCTCTTGGCAATGACCTTATTCCCAACTATAAATTAGTGAAATCAAACAGTTTATAGTAAGATCGGATATAATATATCAAAGAACTTCAATTAGTAATTCGTTAATCTCATTCTCATCACCTCAATGTAGATAAAACTTCCAAATAGACTAATTATACCACAAACAACAAAAAGCACTAAAGCAATTCCTGGTGACTGAGCTAGAATCCATATCCTATCGACGTTAAAAATCCCTATTAAAAATAATAATTAACTTTATTCAATGTAAAAAAAGTTTTTAAAAATAAAATTCAAAAGTATACCTGCTCCTTAATTTATAGATTGAGAGATCAGAATTAGAAAATCTCTTTATGTAAAATAAAATTAGATAGTGACATCCATACGTCATTGCCGTATGTAATTAGGGGATGGTCAACTATTTTCAGCTTAGCCGTATTTAGCCGCTAGCCATCTCGTGATCAAGTATTTCGAATTGGATGATTTTAGCACCATTCGAATCGTCTCAATGAGATATATCGAATGATAGTAAAACCATCCAACTTGGAGTACTGGATTACGAGATTGCTTAAGTCAAAAATAGCCGACCAAACCTATCCAACTTTGCTATTTACCTATAATTTGGTTAATATTGTACCCTATTCCGCACAAAATACCTAAAGTTTTTTTTTTATAATTTACACTACTAGTTTCATCTTCCATTTTAATTTTATGAGCTCAATGCAAAAGAGATAAAATTATTAAAGGTCCAGAAAGTATTTAATAAATTTTTATACGTGTAGTTGTTTATCTTCTGGCTGACCAATCAAAAAATGATCTAAATTATAAACAACTCTACATGGTGAACTATTTCCGAACCAAGGCATTTATTTTGAAGTATTTCGAATTTGTTTATTTCCTGGTCGACCAATCAAAAATCGGGTTACGTTATAAACAACTATCACATGGTGTACTAATTCCGTTTGCACATAAACTAACGCTAACACTAAACCATTCATTTCACCAATTTAGTAATTATAATCGACCCATTTTAGAAATAATTTCTTTGTTTTTAACATAACATTCATTGTTTACGTATTTGGTTATTATACAATGACCCTTTTAATTAGTGTAACATATAGTTATTAGCAATCAATAGAAAGTAAACTCAAATATTGGCACCATAAATATTAATTCATTGTTCCGGTTCAAATTCGGCTCTTATCAACCAAATTACTTCAAATACTCCACATTTCACTAACACTCAATCTCTAATTCCAACGTATTACATAAATTAGTAAATGAGTTAAAACCATATTTAGAACATATAAAATACATACTCTAAACATGAGAACCCAAACATTATTTATAAATTTGATTTTATAAATTGTATTTTTTTCTTTGTTGTATTAATAAAAGTTGAACCCTAACTCTTGTTCAATTCCAAAAATCTAAAAGTTATGCATGTGGCGTAGTTCTTTATAATTGTTCTGCATTATATTCGTGAGGAGTCTATCTTGTGCATCAAATGCATATAATGAATAGTAAAGGCAAACTATCAATAATATGTCGTTTGGAATCTTTACAATAACATACAGTATTACAGTATCACCATTATGAAAAACAATAGTAATATGTTGCATTCATAGAATTCTAATTAGAAAATAGTAATAGTAAATGATATTTTAGGTGCCATATTGAACACAATTAATTAGTAGAATAAAAATCGGCGGGCATGTGACTAATTACCTTATATAGTAAGTGGAATGCCATGTGCTTCCATTCTTATAAAAAAACCCTATAGTAAACAATTTTAAAATACTTATAACTCATGATCTATTAACCCGATTTTGATGATTTTACTACCATTAGAAGCAGAAAAATTAGCTTTACAACTTTTGTTAAAGCAAAAAATATATATATATATATTTACTTAATAAAAAAAACTTTTATATGTAAGCAAGCCACATTCCTGTACTATAGAAAAAAACATAAAATGTCGATCATTTTGTACCCTTTAACTGCGATCTACCAATTAATATTGTACGTACATAACGATGTAACCAAAACTATGATCAAGTTTTTATTAGCGAAATTAATGTAATAAGTTGATTATTTTTAATTGTTTAATTATAAAAAAAAGTGCAAAATTCTAAATGATTCACATGAATATCATACTCATTTTTTGAGTTTCTTTTAAATAAGAAACACCATTTTGAAGGTCTGTATATAATTTTTTGCGATAGCTCTAAATAAGTTTCAACTTATGCTTTCAAGAGTCTTCTTCTTTATTTTAATTAACAAAATATAACATATTCTATAAGACGAACGTACAAAACTTATATATTTATGGAGGATTTTAAAATATAGCTTTATTCTTTAGCATTTTATAAACAATTCATGAAAGTTTAAAGGTAATTCGATGAAGTTGAATCATTTTGCAATTTTAATATTTATATTGCGAAGACAATAGGAAAAATATTTTTTAAAATGAGCAGATTTATAAGTACAGAGCTAAAACGACATATCTGATATAATACAATATACTGTGGCTATATGTAGACCCATAATTAAATGATTAGGTCAATTTTTTAATGCGAATGTTATATATATGGATACCATTTTTCGATAGGAATCGCACTATTAATTCTTTTAATTTAAGAATTATATGAAACGGATTAAAAAAGCACGATTTTTAATAGGATGGGACGGTTAAGCTTGGGTAAGCTTGTTTCAGCTTGGCTAAAAAAAACCATGGTTTAAGCTATGGCTTGAACTATGGCTTAAACTGTAAATATTCTCTATTATGCTACATATAAAAGGTAAGATCTTATTAAATAAACTTACCTTTATATACTAAGTAAAGTTGTTAGGGAGATTAGACTGTATATAACTAAAACTTTTATGCAAATTAGATAACTTTTTATTAATTAGTTTCTGCATTTTTTATGTTTATGAAAAATAAACTATTTTTTTTTAAATAAATAAAAATATTAATTTGCATGAATTTTCAAAATATATGTAGTTTGATCTTTAGAACAAATTTATTTAAAATATAAAGATTTGATTTACTTAGTAATTTTGATTTTATTTATAATAACAATGCGAAATTGAAAAAAAATTATCTATTAATACTTTATTAAACAATATTTTATATGTGATATAAGATTCTATATATGTATATTATACATATATATTTATTTCTATAATAAATTACTAATAAATTAAAATTATTAATTATTATTTGATTAAATCAAAAAACATTTAATCTTTATTATTTAGATAAAATATCATTTTAATATCGAATTATTAATTTATTAGTACAAGGTGTATAGATTAATTATATTAATATAATTAGAAATTCACAACACAACACAGCACCCAAATATGGTTACAATACAGTGAATGCATTTAGAGATATACCAATGTTTATGGATCATGATAGTTTGACCAAAAACTATTTAAAGCAATAATAATAATAATAATAATAATAATAATTGAAAAGGCCCGCTTGTTTTCGAAATTAATTTTGAATCAACTTAATAAGTGAATATAGTTAATTACAGTTATGAAATTTAAAAATAAATAGATTACAGGATGTATTGTTTAAGCTATATAAAAATATTTACTGTTAAAGTAAGTTATTCTGTCTGTGATGCACAATTTGGAGTTGGATCGAATTTTTCACAAGAAATAAATTTAGTTTATTCATTAGAAATTTCCTATTTTCTTTAAAATTATATCAGTGTTTATTAGCTTACTAGCAAATTCAAGAATATTCGCCAAAATTTATGTTTTTTTTATTGGTCGAAAATAGACTGATTCTGAATCAGACAAGTTTAGTGAACCAGTTTATAGACCTTAGTTTGATCGACGGCCTACTACATACTGAAGTTGTTTTTTTTTTTTTTTTTTTTTTAGAGTCAAGTTAAAACCTGAACAGAACAAAAATCAAATTTTGCCACTAGGACTAGTGTTGCAATTAAATTCAATTATTTTATTTTTTTGCTTTTTTTTTAATGATATCAAACTATTAAAGTTGCTAACGAAATGTAAAATTGTTGGTCAAAGAATAAAGAAAGAAAGCGGAAGAAGTCTTGTGCTTGTAGAGTAAAACTAAACTTTATGAAATTAATTTGAAAAAAATAGTATAGACATTACGGCAACTTTTTATATTACCCTAAAAATTATGACGCATATTTGACGGATGTGTTAATATGAGTTGAAATATTTAATATATAAATAAATATATAAACCAGATCAACTTTAAAAAAATAGAGATTGTTTTGAGGTGAGGAGATTGGTTTGACGCAATAATTATATTGGTTTTATTAGATTTAGGGATCATTTTGATAGATGCG